ACTAGATGAAATTCCCTTTAAAATGATTTATTATTCATAATTTCAAATATTTCGAATTTTCACTACCAAGAACGGCGGTGACAACATTTTTAACATTAAGGCAATGTTTCACTACGTCCTATCCAAATTTTGTTCGTGCAACTTTCTTGGTTTCGACAATGCCTATGTATGTTTTCAGCTTGTTAAAAATGTTGTCACCGCCGTTCTTGGTGGTGAAAATTCGAAATATTTGAAATTATTCAATTTTCGTGGCTGAAAATATACATAGGCATTTTCGAAACCAAGAGAGTTGCACGAAGCGTTTTCAAAAGCTTTTGGACTAATATTGACAGTTATAACCGGTCAAACTTAAATATTTTTTAGATTTTCGTCGTTTTTAACCTAATGATGATTATAATTCTTATTATTTTTACAACCAATTATTGGTTTTTTACTTAATAAAAAAATATTTGAAAAGTTTTATTTGTTTTTAACCTAATGATGATTACAATTCTTATTATTTTTACAACCAATTCGTTCTTTACTTAATAAAAAATTATTTGAAGTTTTATTTGTTAGTAATAAATAAAAATTTTCACAACTTAGGAGCAAAAAAGTAAAAAAAAATCTTATTACATATTTGCTTTTTTTAAATTGTTTATTAACGATTTTTTGCATAAAATTTTTCTTTTAAATTTTTTAAATCCATTTCGATGGGAAATTCAATTCTCTACAAAATTTTTCCTATGAACTATACCGAAATTTTGCTTCGTTTTCGTGCTATATTTAAAAAACTGCAAAAGTGCATTTTCACCCCTATCTTCAAATTCAACCCTCTAATTTAATAGCATCCCGCGATTTTTTCATTTTTAGTGACCCTTCAAACAAGTCATGTGATGAAAATCCTTGAACGTCTTATTTCCTTCCCTTTTTGCAAAAAATGACTCAATTTTCATCCAAATTACTTTACAACCTTTTATTTTGAAGGAAATTTTATCTACTTTTTTTTATGAAGCAATGCCTATACCTATCTTTACTCAAAAATAGAACTAGAGGCAAAAAAATCAAAAAATCGAATTTTTTGCTTTTTTCGAATTGTTTATTAACGATTTTTTGCATACATTTTTAAATAAGCCATTTCGATGGGAAATTCAATTCTCTAAATAATTTTTCCTATGAACTATAGCGAAATTTTGCTTCGTTTTCGTGCTATATTTAAAAGTGCATTTTCACCCCTATCTTCAATTTCAGCCCTCTAATTTAATAGCACTCCGTGGTTTTTTCCTCTAAAATGACCCTTTCAACGATTCATACAATAAAATTGCTTCAACGTCATAGTTTCTTATAACCCTGTTTTTTTTTAATATAATAAATAGCCTAATAATATAATACATGATACATGTGGTTTATGAAAAATTAGATTGTGTACGACACATGAAATTGGTGCTTTATGGCAATAGTCGAAAGTGAGCGTTTTTTTTTCAACTTTAAAAAGGATGAACACATTTTTAAGATACACAATAAGACAAGAAAAGTTAAATGTACTCGTCGGCTCGTCGGTATAGAAGAATTGTTGATAAAGCAGATAAAGGACGTCAACGAGAAAGTTATTGACCACTTCGCTTTTCTTAAAATTATCCTTTCTACTCCACGAGCCGCCTCTGCTTTGTGATATCGCTGGGAACATTTCGGCGTAAAGAGAAAATCTTGAGGTTTGTGAGAGCTGCTACGCGTATAAATTAATTTATAACGAGCAATCAATTAAGTGCACATAAAAGAAATTATTGGGTCGTAGCTGCGTATATCCGATTAAAAAAACAAACAGTTTAAGTGTTCCAGTTAGTTTTGGCCTTCAAATTTAACACAAAACACTGATTTGTGGGATCCAAGAAAATTCACTTCTGTTTATTGAAAAGCGTTATAACATAATGTTTGCATGCTTTATAAAATATGTGAATAATATTATCGTAGTTATGTACACCTCCACGTTTTGTTGTGATTGATTTTGGATTACCGCGGCGGTAATTTTGCGATGTACACGTTTCCGCGCGCGGAAAACAAACCGGTGTGACCCCTGGCGTAAATAAAGCACGACTCGGCGAAACTTCAAACAACGCGAACCGGATACGAAAAAGTTTATATTACCCAGCTTGCCCTGACATTCCATTTGTTAGCTATTACCGGGTGAATATCGCGGACGATGAGCCGCGGTACTTAGTCCCTCGCAGCAGTAGTGTTGCCTCTGTTTCTTTTAAGTTGTTATTTTAGGTTCAGAAACTTTATTGATTATAGGATTTTTGAAAGAACTATGACGTTCAAGATATTTTATTACATGAATCGTTCAAATGGTCAATTTAAATGAAAAAACCGCGGAGTGCTATTAAATTGGAGAGTGGAAATTGGAGATTCCCTATCTCCAATTTCCCCTTTCAGTTTTTTAATAATTGTAGCTCGAAAACGAAGCAAAATTCCGCTATCGTTCATAGGGAAATTTATTCTGTGAATTGAATTTCCCATCGAAAAGGTTTATTTAAAAAATTTTATGCAAAAAAACCAAAAATTTTTAAAATAAGCAAAAAATAAGATTTTTTGATTTTCTTTTTACTTTTGTTGTGAAAATCTACTTATTATTAACAAATAAAACTTGGAATAATTTTTAATTAAGTAAAGAACCAATTTGTTCTAAAAATAATAAGAATTATTAATATTATTATGTCCAATGTCAAATCATTATTATGTTAAAAACGACGAAAATCTAAAAAATATTTAAGTTTGACCGGTTATACCTCAGTCAATTATTAGTCCAAAACTTTTGAAAACGCATTATTTTGAAGGGAATCTCATTTAGTTTTTTTGTACAGCAATTTTCTTTACCTACTTCTACTAAAAAAAAAATAGAGTAAAAAAAGTTAATGATTTTTTGCATAAAATTTTTCTTTTAAATTCTTTAAATAAGCCTTTTCGATGGGAAATTAAATTCTCTATCTATTTTTTCCTATGAACTATATCGAAATTTTGCTTCATTTTCGTGCTATATTTAAAAAACTGCAAAAGTGCATTTTCACCCCTATTTTCAAAATTTCAACCCCGCGTATTTTTCATTTTTAATGACCCTTCGAACAAGTCATGTTATGAAAATCCTTGAACGTCTTATTTCCTTCCTTTTTTGCAAAAAAATGAGAATTAAAACGTATAAGGCTAGACGCGACGAAAATCGAAAATTTGACTATTTTCATCCAAAAATACTTTCTTATTTTGTAGGAAATTTTATCTATTTTTTTTTATGAAGCAATGCCTATAAAAAATCGAATTTTTTGCTTTTTTTCAAATTGTTTATTAACGATTTTTTGCATAAAATTTTCCTATAAAATTTTTTAAGGAAGCCATTTCGATGGGAAATTCAATTCTTTAAATAATTTTTCCTATGAACTATACCGAAATTTTACTTCGTTTTCGAGCTACAATTAAAAAACTGGAAGGGGTGCATTTTCACCCCTATCTCTAATTTCCACCCTCTAATTTAATAGCACTCCGCGGTTTTTTCATTTAAAATGACCCTTTGAACGATTCATGCAATAAAATTGCTTGAACGTAATAGTTTTAACCCTGTTTTTCGGATATAACGTTTTTGGTTCTCGAGATATAGTAGAATCACAGCATATTATTATGTAAACTAGCAGTTTCACTCAATTGTCGGCGCTGTGATCTTATTCAGTAGTTTTTGGTGACCTTGGATGAAGAAGCACTGACCAGGGCCGTAATAAAAATATTTTGCGGACTAAAGCAATAGGTACCAGTCTACATAATTCCAATGCTTCTCTGTGAAAACTAAGTGTTAAGCAATGTACTGTTGGAATCGTTATTTTTAAAACCGAGGTGAAAACACTTATTTTTACTTTTCAGAGTTCCCACAAAAACATTTCTCATAAAAATACAGGGTAGTTATAGTTTTTAATACATTTTTTGTGATATTTAATAACCTTTTTATTTGCGAAATATGTGTAAATTATTTTGTGTGGTATCAGTTAGTGATATTTATAACAAAATATTATAAAAATCTATATATTTTTTTAATATTCCTGCTAAATGATGATTTTTCAGGGCCCTACAAATAAAAAAATAGTCCCACTCGAATCCGCCGGTCTGTTTGTATTGAAGGGAGTGTTAACACGAAAAACCAGACACACAGTATATCAAAAACTGATTTTCCCACACGTTTCGGTTCGAAAACAACAGTTTTAACCCAAATTTATTTGTTTATTTTGATGACCGAATCGCTTTCCGGGAAAAGGCTAAAAATAGTGTAATATTTATCGTAAAATGTGTTTTCGTTTTTAAAATATGTAAATGTTTGAAGGAGGCGAAATATTTTTTGTTCGAGTTATTTGAAAAAATGTTATTCTTTGTAAAAGTTTCTGATTCTCAAACTGTTGAAACTGTTACTATAATTCCTTGATTTTATATACAGGGTGATCAATTATATCAGAAACTGCGTAACAAAAGATAATTAAAAGTCCTTAGAGTTTAGATCGGGATTTCCAGGAGATCAAAAAAATTTACTGAATTTTCTGGTCTGTTTTCAAATTTAGATTTCTTTTGCATTATCAAATCCTGCTTGCTAATATCTTCATATTTCTTACAGTATTGGGATTTTTGAATTCTAAAGTTTTAATACCACGTAAGATTTCAAAATTCTAAATAACTCGAAAATGTAACAGAGTGGGAAAATGTAGGCAAATTTTATGACCTCCTAGAAGTCCCGATCTGAATTCAAGAGATTTTAATTAATTATTATTTGTTAATCAGTTTACGGCAATTATAATCTCCGTTCAAGTCATCTAATGAGGAAATTGTGATTTTTTATAAAAAAATGTTTTCTTCAGGTGGTGGTCGTGCAGTTTTCATTTTTTTTCAAAACTGTCAAAATTGGCTCATTATCTTCCAATTTTTTAGTTTTCTCGGGCTGGTTTGACGATTCTTAAAGTTCTAGCTTAGATATGTCGTAAAACTAGGACCCTTACCACACTAAAAGTAATTTCACCACTGCCCAACGAACTTAGAGTGTTAAACGGAAGTCTTCGAGTGTACCAAATAGGATACCGAACCCTGTTATCCACAAAAAAAAACAACACCGCACCCCAGTTCGGAATCCTCAATAGGTCACCGTGAAGTCGTACCGAGAGCTACAGCGTGCCTGACCTTTCGAGTAGAATTCCTCGGCTGGCGAGCGGCAGGCAATGTCAGAGAGCAATAGCATTCCCGCGACGCGGCGAAACGCGAACAACTTACGAACAGACGCCACTCAGCTAGGCGGTCGACACCGAACTGGAGGAAACTGCTGGCCCTGCCTCTCTCTCGCAACCGGCGGCGGCGTTCTCTGTTCCCTCCCGCTGTCCGCGATTATCTCATCCGCCGAGGATGCAGCGGCCGGTGGTGCCGCGTCGAGATGGGACCGGTTGCTTGGCAACCATTGATGACGCCCGCGAGGTGGAGGGCGGCGGACGGGGACGGGGCAGATCGCGGAACAGTTATTATTTTATTCATTTCGTTGGGAATGTCGCCCGGTCCACGTAAGTGGCAGATGAGGAGGTTCTAGAGGAAATGCCGGACTCGCTAATGGACACGCTTAAATGAGATTAAATAATAGGCTGGTCGGCCACGGGAATGTTTCTAAGTCGTACCGTGGCTGCGGGGAATTAATAAAACTCTCGAAGCCTAGTCTTTTACGTTACAAGAATTTGGCAAATACTGACGAGTTCATTTAAGTAATAAAATTTTCACCTTTATATTGGCACAACTAGAAACTGTTTCTGATTTCTCTACGAACAAAGATATTAGCTTTGTTCGCGATAAATCATCATTTGAATTTTCATTATATTGCTATGCGCATGCCTGTGACGGTTGAAAACTATTTCCGATTGCTCTGCGAACAAGGCAATTGGCTGTGTTCGTAAAACAACCGGAAATAGTTTCCAATCTTTAGGAGCACGAACGTATTTGTAATAGTGAATTTTTGACCTTCAGATACCACTCGAGCGACCAATACACATGGTTCTAACGGTAGGAAGCGATGGAACAGGGATTGTAGCTTTGTTCGCAAAGCAATAAGAAGTAATTTCCCTACATTTGCTATTCACATGCTTCTGTGCTTTGCGAATAAAAACTATTAGCTTTGTCCGCGAACAATCCGATACATGAGCAGGGCATTCGTACAACATATTCTATCCACATCCTTCTGACAGTTCAGAACTATTTCTGATTACTTTGCGAACAAAGCTACTAGCTTTCTTCGCATAGCAATCAGAAGTATGCGCAGTCAGAAATTACAATAAATTTTCAACTTTAATGTTTGCGGTTGTTGTTTTTTATTTTAACATTTCTTTTTTTATAATTCTTTTCTTTGCGGATAATTTGGTTTCATCTAATTTAAAATTACGTTAATATTTTTGAACGCATTCTTTCTGTAAAAGCTGAGCAGGACTATTTAGCTTTGTTCGTATAACAACCATTAAAATACGCTTTTTTATCGACTACACCATTAATAATTAATGAAATAAAAATCATTATTTACATTTCTACCCATGCCTCGAACCAGTTTTTATCATAATAAATGAATAAATATCGAGAGCGTGTCATTTTCCATTTCCTTGAAAAATCCGTTCGGATTTCCACCCCCTACCTACACCTACCCGTAATCAATCATATCCGGGACTTTTCTACGCTTGACGTTGTCCTTCAAATGTCCCGCTGAAGCACCGCTATCCTCTTCCAAACCAACAGTCTGTCCGATTAATGTATTCGATGTGGAAACTACTGCATAATGCCTCGAGTTCAAATTCCTGGGTCTTCATTGTCTTCTGGTGTCGTTAAACCATGAAAGGAAATTTTTATGCTCGCATCGGGCCAGCGGCGACTCGTTGAGGGGCTGGGCGGATCGAGGTTGACCTCGAACATACAGGAATACAGTGTGTTAGGATGTACTTTGGACTGGATGTATTTTTGTTGTTGTAATGCTTAAATCTAAGTTTAGTTTTTTTATGTTGCATTCAGCAATTGCGATCATGTTAAGATTTTGTCTGGTCCGATTGGTTTACACACGACACTAACCACGTTTTTTTAAATAAAAAGTAAAAAAAAAAACACTTTCACAAGGTGGTTCACAATAGTTTGGACACTTAACGGAAAGTGAACAATAACGAACCGTAAGGGATTTTGAAACGTAGCGCAAACGAATGTAGTTATTTTATAAAATTGTTGGTCGTTGTTGAAGCTCTCATTTTTGAGATACAGCGTGGAGTTTAAAAAAAATTGATCTATCTAAATATCTTGTGAACAATTGAAGATATTTTCGATGTACAATATCAATACGTTAATAAAATAGCGTTCATCTTGAAAAAAATTACATCTTAATTCAAACCAGTAGCGTAGGTATATGAATAAATTTTTAAAATTTGTGTCGCACCACTGGAAAAAATTTTCTGTAAGTTTTAATACATAAATTTTACTTTGAATGAAATAGATTTTTACTCTTTCATATAACTTTTTGAAATTTACTAAATGTTTCATAATAATAGTTTACATTTTTTCCTTAGGAAATTTATAAGAATTTTTCTTAATAAAATTATTTTTAAATTTCTATAAACGTCTAGACATAAAAAAAAATGTAATCGAAATTTTCTGTGGAATTCTGTTACACATTACATTTTTCTCAGTGTTATATAAACTTCCTCTGCATATTCATTGGAATTGGACTATCACAAATTACAATTTCCGTTTTCTTACGTCGGTAAACCATCTTACGAGTGTTATGATTGCAAAAATTTCCTTAATCACTGAAATTAATTAAATACATAACAAATTTACTGCATATTTCCTCTCAGTTTGAGTTTTGAATTAAAATTACAACTTTTAAATTTTTTTATATGTACTTCTCAGTATAACCATGTGCAGGAAAACAAGTATTTAATATCTACCGTACATCTTTACTTTTTTTTTCTAAAATTAATATGTATATTTTTGTCCGTCACGAAAGGTTCTGAGAAATGTATAAATAATATCTTTAGAATATTGGTTTGACCAATACAACCGGTTGAAGAAGTTAACGATGAAAAATTTATTAGACCTTTCTTAAGAGACGAAATATCCTTGACTTAAACATAAAGCAATCCCCAACGTCTGAAATACCATTTCCAGGAATATCTGAAAAAAATCATTTAGATGTAGAAAGAGTAAGACTAGTTTAGTCTAGAGTTAAGAGTAAATTTATTGGTTACTTGTATCATCACGGGTATTGGTNTAAGATTTTTGGATTTTCTTTACTTTTTTGACCCTCATTTTTTTTAATAGAAGTAGGCAAAGAAAATTGCTGTATAAAAAAACTAGATGAAATTCCCTTCAAAATGATTTATTATATACATAATTTCAAATATTTCGAATTTTCACTACCAAGAATTTTTAACATTAAGGCGATGTTTCGCATTGTATTAGCTATGTCCTGTCCAAATTTTGTTCGTGCAACTCTCTTGGTTTCGACAATGCCTATGTATGTTTTCAGCTAATACAATGCGAAACATCGCCTTAATATTAAAAATGCTGTCACCGCCGTTCTTGGTGGTGAAAAATCGAAATATTTGAAATTATTCAATTTTCGTGGTTGAAAACATACATAGGCATTGTCGAATCCAAGGGAGTTGCACGAAGCGTTTTCAATAGTTTTTGGATTAATATTGACTGAATTATAACCGGTCAAACTTGAATATTTTTTAGATTTTCGTCGTTTTTAACATAATGATGATTATAATTCTTATTATTTTTACGACAAATTGGTTATTTACTTAATAAAAAATTATTTGAAGTATTATTTAGTAATACTTAAATAAAGATTTTCACAACTTAGTCAAAAAAGTAAAAAGAAACTAAATTTTATTTTTTGCTTTTTTTTTAAATTGTTTATTATCTATTTTTTGCATACAATTTTTCATTTAAATTTTTTAAATAAGCCATTTCGATGGGAAATTCAATTCTCTAGAAAATTTTTCGTATGAAATTTCCTCCGAAATTTTGCTTCGTTTTCGTGCTATATTTAAAAAACTGCAAAAGTGCATTTTCACCCCTATCTTCAATTTCAACCCTCTAATTTAATAGTACCCCGCGGTTTTTTCATTTTTAATGACCCTTCGAACAAGTCATGTGATGAAAATCCTTGAAGTCTTATTTCTTTCTTTTTTTTTTGCAAAAAATTAGAATTAAAACGTATAAGGGTAAAAACGCGACAAAAATCGAAAAATTGGCTAATTGTAAGTTTGAGCGGCCATATATCAGTCAATTTTCATCCAAAAATACTTCACAACCTTTTTTGAAGGAAATTTTATCCACTTTTTTTTTAATCAATGTCCATACCTGTCTTTACTCGAAAAAAAACTAGAGACGAAAAAGTGAAAAAAATTAAAGAATCGAAATTTTTGCTTTGTTTCAAATTGTTTATTAACGATTTTTTTGCATAAAATAAGCCATTTCGATGGGAAATTCAATTCTCTAAATAATTTATCCTATGAACTATAGGGAAATTTTGCTTCGTTTCGAGCTACAATTAAAAAACTGAAAGGGGTGCATTTTCACCCCTATCTCTAATTTCCATCCTCTAATTTAATAGCACTCCGCGGTTTTTTCATTTAAAATTACCCTCTGTACGATTCATACAATAAAATTACTTGTACGTCATAGTTCCTTTCAACCCTGTTTTTTTTATATAATCAATAGCCTAATAGGTCAGTTACCATAATGTTCTAGTTTTTCTCTTATTTTTTCGTTTTATCCTTTCTTGGGAAGTCCTTGGTGGGTCAACAAATACTCCTATACATGTGTTTTATGAAAAATTAGATTGTGTACGCCACAAGACAAATTGGTGATATTGCGTTCCCTCTTTATGAAAATAGTCGAAAGTGAGCGATTTTTTTTAACTTTAAAAAGGATGAACACATTTTTAAGATATACAATAAGACAAGAAAAGTTAAATGTACTCGTCGGCTCGTCGGTATAGAAGAATTGTTGATAAAGCAGATAAAGGACGTCAACGAAAAAGTTATTAACCACTTCGCTTTTCTTAAAATTACCCTTCCTACTCCACGAGCCGCCTCTGTTTTGTGACATCGCTGGGAACATTTCGGCGTAAAGAGAAAATCTTGAGGTTTGTGAGAGCTGCTACGCGTATAAATTAATTTATAACGAGCAATCAATTAAGTGCACATAAAAGAAATTATTGGGTCGTAGCTGCGTATATCCGATTAAAAAAACAAACAGTTTAAGTGTTCCAGTTAGTTTTGGCCTTCAAATTTAACACAAAACACTGATTTGTGGGATCCAAGAAAATTCACTTCTG